TTAAAAACTGGTGGGTCACACTGGTTCATATAGCTCCTGATAAGTTTTTCAATGGAAGGTAGGATCCCTGGGAGATTTCTTAGCTTTTATCTTTGTATCCCCAGCACCTAAACCATTGTCTAGCACATTCATCTAGCAGCACTTAAAAAATGCTAGAGGAAAACAGGGAGGGAAGGAGAGGGAAAGGGAGGAGAGGGAAGAATGAATGCATGTCCCCCCCACCCAAAACCAATCTGATCAGGCTCAAGCAATGGGTTCCATTGGGATTGTACTTGGGAAATGGACTCACTTGACAGAAAATATTCATTAGCAAGGGTTTGTTAGGCATAGGAAAGCTACAGTAGAAGGGACTTAGTTAATTCCTAACATAATCAATGATACAGTAGAAAAAACACTGACTCTGAGGTCAGAGGACTTGGCTTTTTATATTACCTTTCTGTTTGGCTTTGGGAAATTCAACTAACATGCTAGGATCTCAATTTCTTCATGTATAAAATAAGGTCCCTCCCACTTTTAGAGCTATGATCCTATGAGTCTATGAGAATCTAGAAAAATCCTACTTGGGCATACTGATAACTCTCCAATTTCTTATCTATAAAAATATCTTTCCTAGCTCTACGTTTCTGATGCTACAATCTTCAGCACGCTTTACTAATACAGGCCATCTTGGTTTCAATTTTGTGATCTTAAACTGTATGAATCAAGTGGTCATGTATGGAATCTTTATTTTCCAAGAGACAACCTAGGAAACCATAAAGTCAATTTTTTTTTTAATTTTAAGTTTTAAACTAAAAAAAAAAAAAAGAAAAAGAAAGCACAAAGCCGTGATTTCTCCATTCTTCTCAGAATGCCCAATTGCATGGCTAACTCAAGCTAAGTCTTCTCTCTCCCTGCTGAAGAAATATACTGAAACATTTCATTCATTTTCTTCTTTTGCTAGTTCTTTTTGACGTGTTTCTGAAGGCCTGCCAGACAGAATTGATTCACAGAACTTGATTCCTTCTCTTTTCCAAACAGTTTTATCTAGCTCAGAAGACAATGGCAGTAAAGTCAATGATTCATCCAATCTTAATAACTGGACCTGATCTACTTTTTTTATTTTTGGTTTTGTTTTGTTTCACCAGGGCTCTCTGATTTCACCAGAGCAACCAGTAATCAGAGCTCTAATTCTCAATATTCACCTTAAGGTAGACTGATATTATTCAATATTTCTTTTAAAATTATTTGTTCTTTTCTCTTTCTGGATAGGGTATAGTTGGTTTTTTTTTTTTAATTCAAGAAAAAATTCATAGCAGAGGAACAGATAAAACATAAATATTCATTAAACATTTTGGCAGGGAGTTTTTCAGCTCTCTCTCAAGCTTAGGAAATAATCATATTTTTCAAAATATAGAGAAGGGGAAGACTCTGTCATAGTCACCATGATGCATGGTAGTAAGTCATTACCAGCTAAATGAGAACTCTTAACAGAGAATATAGTGAAAATGGGTGACATGCTCAATATCTGAATACCAGAAAGTCTCATTTAAAAATCAATTCTCAATGCCATCTGTATAAGACAACCTTAATTTGGCATAACATTATTCTGTCTGCTATACACCTGCTTGTTCTCTGGACTATGAATGAAAAATAGCAACTCTTCAACCGTAATAAACTTCATACCTTCCTAATTAGCATATCTATTGAAATGGGAAAAAAATTTAGTCTCCTTGCAATAGCACTTCAAATACCTCATGGAACATGAAGGGCCATTTCAAAAATACTTTGGCCAATTTCAGTTATTCCAAAACATTTCATCCCCAAATGTTAGAGAACTAGAGACATTACTATAATAGAGATGATTTCTTTTGCACTTTCAGAAAATGCTTATGGTAAAGTTATTATGATAACACTCAACTAGAAATACATCTCATGAAGAGGCAAGTAGATTTATCCTCATCTCATTAATAGCCTTCACACATTAGCATTTCCACATATCAAGTTGAGATAGTATCAATTAATTTTTTTTGAAAGAAATTTCATCATTCATTATCATATGCTTAACGATTTTTAAAGAAACAACCGAAAACTGAACTAATTTAGTTGGGGGGAAGGATTGGTTTCTGATTGGAATTTTCCTTCAATTTACTAGTCAGTAAATATCTAAAAAGATTACTCATATTATTTAAGACCTCCCAAAAGCCATGGATTCTTCTGGTAATGCACAACAATGCATTCTAACTTAAAGCTTGTATTCCAAACCTAAGAGCATTAACAGCAAATGGTTAGTATAAAAATAACAACAAACAGTAAAAGAAGTCTGTAAACACTAACCAATTTCTGAGGCACCCAATGACACAGTGGCAGAAATCAGTTGTTACACTTTTAACAAACATAAATATTTATAACAAGGCCAATGTCCTCGGGCTTTTGACTCAGGTTGTTAATTTCCAGATTGGTAATTAACTGCTGAAATTATCCATTTGTCAAGAATAGATATTACTTTAAAAAAATAAAAATGAAACCATTAGTTAAGGGTGAGCATTCATTATGGAAAACAGTTTGTGTGGTAGACAGTTCCCTAAGCAATTAAAACAGGAAAATTATTCCCAGAGATTTAATGTGAACATTATTTTTTCAGAGTATATTCCAATGGTCACAAATATTCTATGTTCAGAAAGAAAGCTTTAGCAGATGGTTTTTGCAGTGGATTAGGGTAAATGGTCTTCAGATAACCAAAGCCTAAATGAAGTTAAGATCCAACAGAAGACTTGCTTATACAGAAAAGGGAAGTTAAAAGATTTATCTTTTTCCTTCTCTTCAGTCAGTCTGTTGAGTGTTAGATCATGTATTATTTCATTATTTAAACAAGGATCTCCCTAGCAGTGATTAAAAAGATAAGAGGCTGACTGACATTATCCATAGCACTTTAAATTTTACAAAGGTCTTCCGATGCATTATTTCATTGGACCCTCTCTGTGGGGACTGTTGGATTCAGGTACCCATTTTTCAGATGAAGAAACTGAGGTACTCATGGTAGGTTAAGAAACTGCTTTCTCAACTATTAGATTGATCTCACATTCATTTACTTACTTTTAAAGAAACGATGTTTGCAGGAGGGAAAGTACAAAGTCTTTGGGGTTATACATTTTTTTTTTATAAACCTGCATGGCTTCAGAATGAAATTTAAAAAGCTGGAACTAAAAGACAGGTCCTGACAGGAGAAAAAGCAACTACTATTTACCCCAAAGGTTTACCCCAAAGTATTTGTTTTGCTTGTCTATTTAGGCCTGCTGCTTACATTTGGATGATTTTTAGTATTTGTGCAATATTTAGGGAGACCATGTAGCTCTTTGATGGACAGACTCTTTTGAAAACAAAATAAAACAAAATAAAAATCAGCATCAACACTCATTCGTCCCTTCTCTAGCTGACATGTAACCTATGGTTTCTAGAAATTGTTGCCTATCTTGTTCCACTTTTAACTTCTGTCAAGCACCCAGGACGTCATCATGAGCACTAAGCGTTGGCTGGGTAAATATTATTCTGATCTTCTTAATTTTACATTCACAGATTTAAGTGACAACAAATAGCACTGGGTGGAAAAAAACACCAGCTCATACATCAAACTGAAATACCCGGGGGGCATCTGCCACTCTGCCAGGCTCCTGGAAAATGATATCACCTGCAATGCAGTTCCTGAGAGTAAACCTGAGGGAGTACATTGTCTCCAAGCAGACAAACAGTGAGCAGAAGCCAATGTATAATTAGGTTGGTTGCCTCCCATGGAAACCAATACGGTAAAAATGGCCGTCTGCTTTTTCCTACTGCAGTTCAGATACTGAAAATGATCACATTAACAAATGGTTTCCTCTTTGATAACTTTCTGTACACTGGCAAAAAGGCTTTCCTTCACAAAAGCAAAAGATTGTTACTGCTGTGATAGAGAACACACACATATTCACATAGTCACAAATTCATTTACTAAAATAATTTTAGAGCAAAGGTTTTGGAATGTACAGAAAGGGGTAGTGGGCTGGGAGGAACAAAATCTGGGTCCTGACACTGGTTCTGCCACTAACTACCTGAACAATTTGGGGCACTTAGTTCATCTAGGCCTCGGTTTCCCCGTCTTCAAAATGAAGAGGCAGGATCAAATATGGCAGACTTGGTTGAGGAGTTAGTTAGCTTGAATGAACTTTCTTTCTTCCTCCTCTTTCTTACAAAGGACATTTCTTTGGGAGAGAGGGCAATGTATTTGGGAAACAGAAAGGATGCAAAAGTGAAAGACAACAATGAAAACTGCTGAATAACAATTTAAAATAAATAAAATGTTCTAAAATAAAATAATAAATATTCTAAGGAAAAGAACATTTCTGATGTTCTAAAACAAAATTAAAATAAATGTTCTAAGAAAAAGGACATAAATTTTAATGTTTAAAATAAAATAAGAAAATTAACATTCTAAGGAAAAGAACATCACTTTTAATGTTCTGAAATAGAGATAAAAATAAACGTTTTAAGAAAAATATTTTTAATGCTCTAAAATAAAGGGATTAAAAATAAATGTTCTAAGGAAAAGAATATCAATTCTAGAATGCAGCAATTTTTAAGAGATTTCTATGAAAAGGAGGCAAAACTGTACGGCAATTAGGAACCTGACTTCGGAACCTGAAGTCCTGGGTTTAAGTCTTGCCTCTCATAGATACCAAGGGGCAAGTCATTTAACCTCCCAGTGGCCCAAGAAACTTTCTTAGACTAGCAATTATACAAAAGTTGATAGAGGTGGGCTACCTTTCTCACTTCCACTAGATCCCCCTAAACCTCCGCCCTTTTTGTTTTTAACTTTCTGCACTGGGAGGCAAGATACAAGCGTGTTAAACATATTGGCCAAACAGAATTCAGCTGGATTGTGTGTTTTCTGCTCCCTTTATATAAGAAGAGAATGGCAGTAGTGAAGTTGTGACAATCTCCTTCAAAGTAGAGCATTAATATTTGGCTTTAAAAATGTCTTTACCTACCTTCACATTGTCTGGATGAAGCCCTCCGGGGTGTTTGTCCATGTACTGACATAAATCAGTGTGCTAGAAGACAAATCCAAAGGAAAAGCGTATTAATATCCCTATGGCTCCAATACAAAGAATCAATAGTGTTCAACTTCAAAGTCTCTGTTAGTTCCGTACAAAGCACAGAAAAAGCGAGCAGTTTCCTTTTTAGTCCTTACCTTCGGCCTCCCTTCTCTTGTTCTTTCTTTCAGCACCACTGCACTATGTCTTTCCCTTCAGGCCCTTAATTCTGTTAAACTTCGCATGTGTTGGAAGCATTATGTGTGTGGGTAATTCTTTAACGTGCCTGATTTCTTTCTCAACCTACATGGACAGTTCACTTACGGCCTCATGTCATACTTAACAGGCATAATGAACACTCAGTCTGCAGTCTCATTGTCTTGTATTTTACCCAGGTAGGATGGGAATACTTTTTACCTTCTGCACAAGATGAAATCATCATAATTAGTTTTAAAATGGAAATCATAATTTATCATATTCAATACTATGAAGTCCACAAATATAAATAATTATTTCCTTAACTGAAGTTTCACATACATCCTTAACAGAACTCAGTCATTGTTTGTTAATTTCTTTAAGATCAAAAATTAAAGAAACCATTCCAATGACAAATAATAACCACAGGCTGCCATTTCAGTTAAGAACACCAGCCACAACTTAGTTTCCAATGTACCTTTTCTCTTGAAACATTTTCATTTATCTCACGAAATAGATCTACGTGACAAAAGTCATATTATTCAAATTTCTCATGTCCTCCTAGGTGAAAGCCAAAGAACATAGTTGTAAGAATTATCTGAACACTTTTTGAAAAATATAATGAAAATAAGGCATTTTATTCACTACTGACATATCAATTTTTATTAAAGAAGCTGGTGGTATAATGGAAAGTGTGCTGGGCCTGGAGTCGGGAAGATCTGAGTCAAATCCAGTCTCAGATACTAACTAGTCGTGTGACTCTGGCCAAGTCATCTAATCTCAGTTTCCTCAACTGCAAAATGGTGATAATAATAGCACCTGCCTCCCAGGGTTGTAGTGAGGATCAAATAAAAAAACGTTTATTAAAAATAACAACAACAACAACACACTTAGCACAGTGCCTGGCACAGAACAAGCACTATAGAAATGCTTTCTCTTGCTAAAATTTAATTAGAACATGGATTAAAACTTTCAGGAATCTTGTTATAACAGCGTTTGCTATAGAATAGATTTTTATATGAGGCCAGTCCATGCAGGTCTCTACCTGCAAGAATCTTGTTGCTGTCACCAAAAAGTCTTTTGGATGAAAACACAGCATTATAGTAAGCATCCCATGTAATAATAATAACTAGTATTTATCACCTTAAGGTTTACAAAGTCCTTTACAAATATTATCTCATTTTAGCCTTACAACAAGAAGGTAGGTGCTATTATTATCCATATTTTACAGATGAGGAAATTGAGGCAGATAGATGTCAAGGGACTTGCCCAGGGTCATGTAGCTAGTAAGTGTCTAAATTCAAATTTGAACTCGAGTCTTCTTGACTTCTGGTCTAGTGCTCTATCCATTTTGCAACTTAGCTGCCATATAATTTATCCAATTAATTGGAAACAGCATAATAGATCATAAACTGATTCTTTCTTTATCTTTCTTTCATTATCACTTACAGCAGAAACTTCTCAGAACTCAAGAAACTCAACTGTCTCTGACTTTGAAAAGGGATTCATGGGGGAAGAAACAAATGCATAAATCTGGCATTGTAATACCATTTATCCTCAAAAGGCACATGACAGTCAAACTTAGAAAATCACGCTCTTTGAGCTGGACAGTAACTCAGAGGTCCTGCTCACATGTGAACAGAAACCACTATGACAACATCCTCACCAAGTCTAGCCTCCACTTGAAGATGTCCAGAGAATAGGGTTCTACTACGTCCCAAGGCAGATCATTAAACATTTGGACGGCTCTAGTCTTTAATCATTTTTTTTCTTTACATGACAGTGAAAACAGTCTCTCTAACTTCTATCCATCTCTTAGGCTAAGCAAACCAAAGCTAATTTTTCTTCAGTACCAACTGTTAAAATCAATGAGCAGGAAGTGTGTGTGTGTGTGTGTGTGTATTTTCCTTGGTATACCTCGCACCCATATCATTACATGTAGCACACAGAAGGTGTTGAATGGGTAATATGATTATTCACCAAACCCACTAATATCTAACTTGGATATTTACCTCCTGAGAAGCACTAAGAGTAAGAAACTCAACTGAAAAGGATTTAGTTTTATGAGCTTCAATTTCCTCATCTGTAAAAGGAGAGGGCTCACCTAAGTGACCAGTAAGATCTGATTCAGCTTTAGATCTATGATTCTATTGTAAAGATTGGTAGTACAGTGCCAAAGGCAGAGGTCACATCTCTCTGTTTGGTTAACAATTAATACAAAACTGATGGGGCGGGGTTGCTTTGTACAGGGATTTTTCTTCATTGTTAGTTGATTAAGTATCTATCACATCAAAACAAAATTATCCAGTGTAATTTTTTTTTTTGTTCACTAAAACAGAACAATATCTGCAAGAGAAGCAGGAACATGCTGAAAGATATTTCCATGAATATCTCTGGAGGTCAATCAATATTCTCAGGTACATTTTATTGATGCTTCGAACTTTCTATTCTCAATAACACCCCAGTAATGTTTTACCCTGTATTACTGAAACATTAATGGGCGTGGAGAACCTGCAGCAAAAATCAGTTGCTTGTATGCATCCTCTGCAGGTATAACTTTTCTGATTTTAGTGTCTTCATTACTCCTATATCAAGGATTTCTTTTTTTAAGGATGCAAAAAGACATCCTTCCTTTGGGTCTCCCTTTTCCTCCCTTACTTCTTCTGGATTGACCCCTCAACTTCCCCAAAATGCAGACCCTGAGCACATTTCAGAGTAGATTCATTTCCTGCTTAAATGGTCATGTTAGTGCATCAGCACACTGAGGGTGAAGGAAAGTACCTTCCCAGAGATTCCCCAGTCACATGACCAATATCCCTGGATTGATATTCCTTCCACCCCAGCTACTTTGTGACTGAACCCAGATATGGTATCTGATTTGGAGTCTTACGTGGCCATCATGAACTCAGTGGTCAGGGGGAAGCTATAGATAAAAGTCAAAAGCTTAAGTCCTGATCTGAAATGTTACCATTCACGATCAAGGGTTGGGGATAGCCCAAGGTTCAACACCTGGGGTTAGACCTAGACTGCTTCATCTCCTTCAATCTTCAATTTATCTCTTACCAAGTCCAGATCTTTGCCTCACCCTATCACCCATCCCCCACCCCTATCTCATCCATCTCTGCTTTACTTAGGCCTGGACCAGGGACTAGCATTGAACAAAGTGTTATAGGGAGAGTTGTGTTTGGCATCTAAGACACTGAACTGCCTGGGAGGCAAACAGGAGTTCTACAGAGTACTCTAGATAAATATAAAGCAAGGACCTGTAGCTGGAGTAATTTCAGTCCATGCCCAGCACCCCAGGAGAAGGTAGGAGTAGATATAAAACCTCCTATCCCTTCCAAGCTAAAGTTTTTCCCACTTCATTTTTTTAAATGCTGATGATCAATTAAGCAGATTTTATTTTTCTTCACAGTATCAAAGGGAAGTACCTGAATTCTTGAGCTGATTTTTGATAATGAAAGATTCAGACTGTGTCTCAAACCATCCCTTAGAAAGGCCTGAAATGGAGCACCCATATATCTATGATTACTTTCTCTGATCTTTAAAAACCTATGCTAACACCAGGTGAAGGGACCACCAACATACTAGAGACTGATTGAGACAGCATGATACCAGCGGCTCTCTGTACTCATTCTGCTGAGTGGATGGGATACTATGGATGAATCAATCCACCATCAGACTGAACTTCAGAATTTTAGACCTTCAAGGGATTTTAGTGATCATCTAAGGGTCTAAGGGTTCTTAACTTAGAGTGCATGGACTTTTTTTAATTTTTAATTTTAATTTTTAAAAATTAACTTTTTGATAATGTATTTCATCACAATTGGTCTCCTTTGGTAATCTTATGTTTTCTATTTTATACACTTAAAAATAATATTCTGCAGTCTATAGGTTTGACTGGACTTCTGGAGGGTTCTGTGGCACTCACACACACAAAATGTTAAGAAGATCTGATCTAGACTTCATCTCTTTAAGTACAAATGCTTCACATCAAGGTAAGCTTGTAGAGACAGCCTGGATCAGTGGGAGGGAAAGCACAGGATTTGTAGTCAGAAGATTGAGTACAAATTCCAGCCCTGTCATTTCCTACTTTGGGCAATTAATTCACTTAACCTTTCTGGAACAGTTTCCTCATTGGTAGAATGAACAAGTTGAACTACTACAGATGTCTCTTACAGCTTTAAATATATGATCCTCTGATGAAATAAGGCAAGGGAAGGAGGGCAGACATTTCACTTGCCCTCCTCTTTAACAACATGCCCCCTCCTTACCTCTCTTAACTTTAGGATCCATTTTTTGTTCTTTCTTCTCATCTTCATCCTTCCTCTTATCACCTTTCATTCTCTGCTTACAGGAGTCTATAAACTTTTACTTCTCCTCTAAATACCTATTTGTTTCACTCAGATCTTACAAAATCAATGTCAAAAACATCAACGACAGCAATAACTTAGAGATTGTTGACTCTAACCACCTCATTTTACAGATGAGGAAACTAAATTGAGGTCTAAAAAATGGTAAGCCAATTCAGGAAACATTAAGCACCTACTGTATGCCAGACATTATACTAAGAGCTGTGACTTACCCAAGGTCACAAAGTCATGTATAAGTGGAAAGAATTGAACCCAGGTCTTCTTGGCTTCAAGGCCAATCATGCTGTCTTTCCATAGTTTTTGTCTGTACCCTGGTCTTTCTTCATAGTATAAGAATGTGGACTGGATTTTTACGATTGGTTTCTGGTTATCTAAATTTGTGAGTTACGATGCAATATTTCAGAGAATTGTTTATGTCAACTGCCAGCTTAAGCTAAAGACAGAAACTAA